CCCTCCCTGCCCCCCATTTGTAGCTGTTTTACGTTGGAGGGGCCCCGTGCCTCTCCGGGCCTCGTCTGTAACGGATGACACCAGCCAACCGGCTGTCCTTGGGGGCCCTCCCATCCCCAGGCCTTGAGGTGGCAGAGACTGGGCAGGTTGTTTGTCCTGTGGCCCTTTGGTCCTCTAGCAGCAGGCTGGCTGTGCACCGGGCCCTGCACGGGGACCCTGGGCAGCACGGGGCACCCACTGTGTGTTGGGGTGCTGCAGGCCCTGCCTGTCTTCTCACACAGTTGGGGTGAGCCACTTTCCACTTACAAAATGCAGTTTGAAGAAAGCTGAATTTTTAAGGCATTTTATTATGAATCTTCACTAGACCAGGTGTCCTCAAACTATGGCCCGAGGGCCACATGCAGGTGTTTTTGCCCGTTTGTTTTTTCACTTCAAAATAAGATATGTGCAGTGTGCATAGGAATTTGTTCATAGTTTTTTATAAACTATAGTCCGGCCCTCCAATGGTTGAGGGACAGTGAACTGGCCCCCTGTTTAAAAAGTTTGAGGACTCCTGGTTTAGACTCTTTGAAGAGGAGCCTGAATTATGTAGGATCAGCAGGGGGTGCTAAGTTGGTGGCGATTTTCTGGGTTTATTAAAGTACTAAATGTTTATTTCTCACTGTACACTAGGGGCAGAGGACGGTCAGTTTGAGAAACAAACAAATAAATGCTGGTTCCTGCTTGATGGTTGAGTGCCACTTCAGTTATTCGCATTCATTCCTTGAGTTGATTTGATTCTTTGGAGGAGTTTGTTTCTGTCTGCTTGCTTGTTAGACTTTTCCTTTTTCCTTTAAACTTCCAAATCTCACAACACATCCATGTGTGACGGTGTCAGCTTCATTTCTTTTGCTGTAACGGGTACAAGTTTCAATGCTGATTGAGGGGTGCAGTTCAACTGGGATGCAGCCAGGGCTGCTGTGTGCAGTTTCCTAGGTAGCCTACTGAGTTTTAAAAATTAAACTTTTTTGTTATCACTGTGAACCTAAATAACAAACAGGCTCTCTAAAAGAGAAGTGTTTATTTAGGAGTAGGGCATTGCAAGGGGAACACGCATATTATGGTAAACTATGTTGGTGTTCAGGGAAGTCACAGAAGACAAAGGCTTTTAAAGGAAAAATGAGGATTATGTAATTGTTTCAAGATAATTATCCTCGGCTACAGAGATCAATAACAAGGGTGATGCTGCCCAAAGTTGGACAGGCAGTTGCTGGGCAGATATCCTCGTAGAAAGAATTTTTGTGCAAGGCTGTGATGGCCTTTGTGCAAGGCTGTGGTTTTTGCATTCTTTTGTGATATTAATAGTTCTTGTTATCAGGCACTTGTGCATGAGAACCCTCCCCTCCTGGCCTTCCCTGGCTCTGCTTGTCCGGATTATTTATTTTTTTAACACTAGTGACTCCATTTTTATTCTGACAATTTTCACATCACAAAGCCATGATGTGAAAAGCCACCCACCAAACGTAGAAAATACAGGATAGCAAATACAAAATTAGGACATAGTGAGTTCATCTTGTGCATGTGTTGTAGCCACTTTCCGTTTAGCAGTTGAGTGTGAACATTTCCCATGTCGGCACCGATGGTGCAACAGACATGTGCACGGCTGTGTGGTGTTCCCTGTGCTCCTGTCGTCGGGTGACTGGGTCCCCTGAGCACCTTTTTGTGCATTCTCTCAGTCCGTGCTACACGTCGGGCAGGTGCCAGGCACTGGCCTGGGCAGCAGGTTTGCAGATAGCAGCAGACAGGCTGCTGGCGTTGTGTCCATGCCAGTCCCCTGGGAGAGAGGCAGGCACAGCTGACACACGTGATCTCAGTCGCATGAAGTGTGGGAAGGAAAAGAACCGAAGGCCTGGGGAGAGGACGCTGGGGAGTCTGACCTAGTTGGATGCTTAAAGGTCTCTTACAGGAAGGGGAGTTTGGTGAGGGATGAAGGGAGGAAGGACACGTCCGAAGGCTATGAGGCAGAGCGCTACAAGGGAGCCGCCCAGGTGCCGGGCGGGGCTGGCAGGGAGGGTGTGAGGAGCAGGACGATCAGGAGGAGACTGGCCATGGGCCAGGCGGCAGTGGGTCACAAGGAGATTGCTGGGTTCCAGATACTTTCTTTAGCTAGAGTCAGCTTTGGGCATATTTTTTGAAAAAGAAATTTCTTAGACAAGTTTTTCTTGAGACTCTGTGAAATTCATCAGTGTGCTAGTAAGGAACCCAGCAAGGTGACCAAACAAGTGTCCATTTCAGAGAGGGCCTGAGAAGTAGGGTGAGAGAGCAGGACCCAGTGTGTGGACACGGAACACCGGCCTAAGTGGGAAAGAACATGAGTCCTTTTGCCCTCATGCGGACACCGGTTGATCAGTTGTCACAGAAGCTCCCTCTCTGGCAGGGGCCTGGATGCCTGCCCGCAGGAGCAGAGGCGCGTGGGGAGGACACAGCCACATCTGAAGTGGAACCCTCAGGACTGTCTCACAGGCTGATTTGCAGAAGGCAGGGACAGTGTCACCGTGGGCCAGTGGCTGGCCTCTGAGTCGTTGGCGGGAATGGCACACAGGTGCACTGTCGTGGAGGAGCAGCGTCCTGACTGTGTGTCAGCCCCTAGCACCTGCTGATCTAGCCTCTCCATTGCTCCGTGCTGGACACCCTCTGGTCCATGGTCACTCTCAGGATGACAGTGGTAGAGCCTCCTCTGGATCTGGCCAAGGCCCAGATACCACATTCATCCCCTTTTGTCCTCCTGCGATCCTGGTGGCCTGCAGCCCCTTTGCACCAGGCCTCTTGCCTGCTGGGAAGATGGTGTCACTGCCTCTTGCCTTCCCTCAGTTGTCTGCTCTTTCTGCCCTGCTCGAGGCCCAGCTTGATGATACCAGCCTCCTTGGGCGGGGTCTCTGGGTTCCTGGATGGGCTCCAACTCTGGGTGCTGGCCCTGTGGTACCCTGTGGTCCCTGGCACAGACGAGGTTAGGAAGCCCTGCTTGAGCCAGAAGCTGGTGCCTTGTCTGTGCTCCCAGTGCTCGGTGTCCTGCTCTCATCCTTCCCCCTGGCCAGGGGAGCGCCAGCACACAGAGTGGCACCTGCCACTACAGCTACTTAGTGAGTGGTGCAAGAAGAGGGAGAAGTGCTTTTGCTGTGACGCTGTGTGGAAAGCTTCTTGTTTGAATTCTTCTTGGGATATTAAGATTTGTTGAGCACATGTGGGGTGTTTTATTGCTGTCCCTAAGGACCCTGTTTCTGTTGGTGATACAAGCTGAGTGTCCTTTATCCGAAATGCTTAGGACCAGAAGTGTTTGGTATTTTAGATTTTTTCAGATTTTGGATATTTGCATCATACTTACTGGCAGAGCACCGCTAGTCCAGAAATCTGAAATCCTGTGATCCAGTGAGCATTTCCTTTGAGTGTCATGTCTGCACTCAAAAGTTTCAGATTTTGGAGCAGTTCTCCAGGTTAGGGGTGCTCCCTGTGGGACCAGTCTGCACAAGCCATGGAGGGGCAGGGGAGGCCTGCTGGAGCAGGAGGGCCTGGGAAGCGTCGGGGAGCGTGGGGTTTTCTCTCCTGCCCCGTCACCTTCCCTTGAAGAGGTGCAGTGTCACCAGCCTTTGCTCTGGGAACAAGTGCAGATGCGTGCTGCCCTTGAGCAGATGAGGGGCTCTTGGTTGCAGCCAGGCTGGTGGATCGCATGGTGCTTCCCGATAATGCTCCATTAGTGGATGAAGTAAGCAAGTTATTAACTGGAGGAGGAGGCTTTGGAGATGTGGCAGTTTGGAGAGAAGAAAAGTCACCTGTGGGGGTGAGGGAACGGCGGTCACAGTGCTGCAGTTGGTGTCAGAAAGTGAGTGAGAGCTGCCCCTGGAAGTTGTGGCTGGGTGGAGGTGCAGAGTGGGTGAGGAGTAGAATAAACTAGGGTCAGGATTTTACAAGGTGGATTGCTGGTGGGGGTGGGGAGCCGGCAGGTAGGCACCGGAACTGTGAGGGTGTGTGTGTGGGTTCTCTGAGGCCCAGGGGTCAGCCGAGAACAGGTGAGGGCAGGGGCCAGGCAGGTGAGATGCCAGGGGACCGTAGGTCCTGGTTGAGAGAGTTGGGGCCAAAGATGGAGGTGTGGGCGGAGGGGAGCTTGGGTGTTGCTTGACCTTGCAGTTCCAGAGGAAGGGACGGGGACTGCTGCAACGTCTTCTCTGAGATGTACAAGATTCTTGTGCAGGTGGAGAGAGAGAAGAGAGTGCAAAGAGCCTGGCGATCTTTAGATAAACACATTAACTTCCGTTATGCCTAAAATTGGTCACTTAAGATTTCAAGTATTCAGAAATCAAAGCTTGCCAGCTGTGATGCCTTTTATTTGTAAGATATGGTGACTTATTTGCTGGAACCAACATCACATTTGGGGAAGTGTCTAGCATAATGATAAGCACAAAATAGATGTTTGTCGAATTGAATTAATTCTGGTCATTTCTGGGAGGAAGAACCACGAGAGGTTTTAATCGCTGGTTATTTCGTGTGTTGGAGCTGGCTTGGTCGTCAGACATCATCTGAATGTTTAGGGATCTTTCATTTCCTAAAAGGCCTATGCAATTATGTAAGAGCATATCCTTGCTGAAAACCAGCCTTTATGTTAATAATTGTTACTATATACTGTCTGCTTTCCAAACACCCATGCATGTCACTTCACTTGATCTTGGCAGCAGCCTTCCGAGGTGGCTGTCATCGTCCTGTCTTGTGACTACAGAGATCGAAGCTTTGTCTGGCACACAGTTGGCAAAGCAAATACTTGAAGAGCCTGAGATGACTCATTTTTATTTTGTGATTTTTTTTTTTTGGTATAAAATGTACTTAATGTAAACTTTACCCTGGGCTGACTTCTCAGTCTAGTCCCTTAACCTCTGTCCCACACGTGCTCTGTTCCCCGTGTCAGTGCACTGGACACACCAAACGTCTCTTCCCAAGACAATGACATGATACATTTTTTTCTTTGTGTTTAGGGCTCAAAATTTGGGCGTGGAATTGGATTCACTCAGACTTCTCAACGCACCTCTGCTCGGAGATCGTTCGGAAGATCCAAGAGGTTCAGCATCACTCGCTCCCTTGATGATCTCGAGGTAATTTAAGTTTAGTTTTTCTTCTTTTCTTCCTCATGTTTTAAAAAATGAAAATCCACGTCACGGATACATCTGACTCTCCTTGGTCTCCCCTCACTCTCTCGAGTGGTGGCCAGCGTTCTCCGGGGGCTTTCCATGAACGTTCACACTCCTTCCTGCCCTGGGGTAGGCAGGAACCGTTGGAGTAATTCTAGGCTCTTGTTTACGGGCAGACTCTGTGGTCACAAATGCTTTTAGAAGCAAACCTGCTCAATCATCATAAAAGCTCTGTAAGGCAATGTCCTGTCACTGATCCCTTTGAAGATGTGACATTGATCCACAGATGTGGGTAGAGCATCATTTTGTGTGGCTCTTTTCTTTTATCTACAGTCCTTGTTTTAAAGAAAAATGAATAGAGTTTACTCTTTAGAGCAGTTTTAGTTTACAGAAAACTTGGGCAGTAAGTGCAGCATTCCCAGACCCCGCCCTCGCATCCCTGTTCGGGTGCACCGACTGTCCCGCTCTTGCTCCGTGTGGCGCATTTGTCCCGGCCGATGCGCCAGCGTGGCGCATGTCGGCTAAGGGCACAGCGCACTTGGCAACTACGGATCTTTTCCTGTCTCATCCTGTGTGTTTTAAATTTTTATAATGTAAGTCTTATTCTGCCACTAATAGAACATTGTGTGGTGTTTTTGAGATGTACTCATGTAGTTTCTGTTTGGTCATTTTACTTGCCCTAGTTATGAGCTACCTGCTCTGTGGCATTCTGTTACGAACATGACAATTTCTGGGCCACTCTGCTATTGGCGCCACTCGGTCGTCTGCTCTGAAGGGAGCTTTGCGAGCATCCTCACACGGCTCCTCGAGCGCAGGTGTGGCTGTGCGCTCTCGTCCCCAGCAGCGCAGGGACTGGGTGAGGGCATGGCCGGACGCTGCCCACAGTGGCTGTGCTGACGCACCCTCCTCAAGGCGCTGAGGCGGGCTGTGGGCACGGTAAGTGGGCCCTGCCGGCTCGGTCTCCAGGCAGCTCGAGGGCGTGTCATGGTGCGCTGGTATTGGCCAGTCAGCAGCCACAGTCAGCTGCAACATGCCAGAGCTATCGTGGAAGAGACAGCAGGTGTGTGGCCCGCAGGGCCTGGCCCGGCACTGGGGGCCTTGGGGCGTTGGTGGTCCTGGCAAGAGGCGGAGTCCCGCCACGCCTGCCTGCTCGCGTTGGGGTTTTGCCAAGTGTGGTAGGTCTGCATCTTTCTGTGGTGAGGGTCTCTGAGGGTCCGAGCCCCCAGGAAGCGGAGACCCACGTGTCGGTGGCTTCGTGGTGATGGCCTCGGAAACCATTCAGGTCAGCTTCCGTCACTGTCATTCTCCTCACCTCAGAGAATGTCTGGGACTTTCCACCTACAGACAGCGAGGGGTTTGCATTGGCAGGCGTTAGTGATTGAGCACAAGCTGGGTGTTTTATGTCTTTTATCCCGAATCTTCTGACAGCCCAGCACGAAGATCACCATGTCTCCGTTTTACAGACCAGAAGACCTAGATGCAGCAGGTTCAAGGGCACTTTGGGGCCCAACACACAGCAGAGCATGTGATCTTTCCATTGCATTCATAGCCTCTTACTTTTTGCCACAATAGTACTTTAGAGAAATGAGATTGAATCCTTCGTCATTTTTTTGCCTGAAGATATGAAAATGTAAAGCTACGAATAACTTAAACGCGTACTCACTCATTGGCAGGCTGTTTCCAGGGAAGCCTGTTGAAAAGCTTCTCTCGTCTGCTCTTCGTCGGGTCTGCAAGGCAGCCTGTAAGACAGCCCCAGGTCCTGCCTCCTGGTCCTCACACCTGGTGGGTCCCCTGCTCTGTGGGTGTGGGTTGGACCCACAGAGTATGGCCTAGTGATGGGATGTGACTTCCAAGACGAGGGTGTGAAAAGACTGTGGTTTCCACCTTGTTGCCCCCCACCATCTCCCTTTGGAGCCTCGGTCTGGGCCAGTGCCAGGTTATGGGTGGCCCTGTGTGTCTCTGGCAGGACTGAAGCCTGCCCAACTGGGGGTCGTGTACACACCCCCAACTGCCCCGCACGGCTGCTCTGTTTCTGCACCCTCTGGGCTAGGTGGCCGGTGCTGGAGGCTGGCCCAGTCCTCCTGACGACTTGCCGTGTGGTGTCCAGTCTGTGGGACGATCTTGGGAAGGTGCCTCCATGGGGGCGGGGAGCACCCCAGTCCCACTGATTCCCTGGGGTTCCAGTCCCCTGCCTCTCTGTGGGGCCTTCCTGGCACTTATCTTCCCACTTCCTCCTTCTGGACCCTGACCCACCCGCTGGCCACTTGCCCTTGCTCTTTAGTCCTCACGTGTTCTCACCTTGGGCCACGTTTCTCTTCGCACACAGCAGACAACCAGGGTGCCCCCTTTAGCTCTGGGCACATCTTTCACGGTGTCTGTTTTGCTCACGCTGCTGTGCCAAGCTGGTCTGTCTGTGCAGCAGCCTCTTCAGTGGGGAGTCCCCTGTGTGGCCCGAGTGTGAGCCCGCAGAGCTGTGCTGGTGCCCTGGTGGCGGATGGCATGTGACTGTGGGCCACCTGCTCATGCAGCCTCGCCTTCCCTGCTGGATATGAACTATCTCGAGGTGCATTGCTGCGGGGCTGCCCCACAACAGGGCCATACCACACCCATGATGGACAGTGCTGGTGATTCAGTATTCTGCTGATGAATGTCCTGTGTAGACTCTTCTACCCCAGGGCCCAGAAGCACTCAGAAGTGTGTGGACCCTGTTGCCTTTGACCTGGCTTTGCCCCAGACCCTCACTTCCTGGCTGTGCGTCTCCTCCTGGGGCTTGCTGTCAGCCTGGTGGGGTCTTTCCCACTGCAGATGTCTCTAGTGCTGTAGTGTCTGCCACGTAGGGCAGCCTGAGTGTCGGGGCTGCCTGTCCTTGCCTGCCTGGCCTGCGTCGCTGGTAGCCTTCCACCATCCCTGGGAGGGGGAAGCACTCCCAGGTGAGGGACCATCTACTTCGAGAGCCTGTTACCCTAAGTAACGAACAGAAGGGAAGACTCTCTAAAAGAAGATGATATTTATTTGGGAATAGGCATTGCAGTGGGAATACTTGTGCCATAGTAAGCTATGTGCGTATTCAGGGAGGTCAAGGGAGACAAATGTTTTTAGAGGAAAAATGATGAGGATTACATAATTGTTTTGAGATGATTATCTTTGGCCACAAGGATCAGTAACGAGTGGCACCAGTCCAAGGTTGGGCAGGCAGTTGCTGGGCAGATGTCCTTGCAGAAGTATTTTTTGGTGTAAGGTTTCGATGGCCTTTGTGCAAGGTTGTTTCTGTGGAGTCTTTTGTGATAGCTCTTGTTATTAGGCAACAAGCAGGAGAACCCTGCCTCACGGCCTCCCCTGCTCTACTTGGCAAGGTTTTTAAGGTAGGTGATTCCATTTTGGTTCTAATAACTTTCACATTTTTCCCTTTTGATCACGAGATCTCTCAAAGCACAGGTGATCAGTCATCCTGTAGTTAGGTGTGGATTGACCCTGGGTGCCTTGATGGACCTGTCCCTGGTTGTTGGTCTGGTCCCACGTCGGAGAGAGTGACTGGTGACTAGAAGTCAGTGTCAAAACCCTTTTAGCACCACTTGAGCAACAGGGAAGGTTTGGAGGGGTGGCTCTCAGGCTAGGTCCATCTGGAGTCTGTTGTTAAGTTCAAATTTATCTATTTCATAGGCATTGGCTATCATCTCAAAGTGCTGGGCTGGTTTTACTTTTTAGGAGTTGTACTTGTGCAGAAATTTAACAAGTAACAGGTACAAAGTTTAAAAAGAAAAATGCAAATGACAATCCTAATTTACATAATAATTTTGAGTCGTGAGCCTAGGCTTAAAGGCAGCCGACTGACTGCGCTTGATCTTAGCTAAAAGGCAAGAAGCCATGAAGGCAAGCAGCTAAACGAATCAAGTGATCATGGGAATTAGGTGAGACTTGTAACCATGTGGCCTATTATCTTACTTTGTGTATCTGGGTCTCTGCTTCCCCAAAGGAATTTATCAGGTGCAACATGTAGTATTAGCAATGGCACAAACATTTCCTTATTTAACCAGTAGACAGCATAGAGCGGTTTTATCATCTAACCTCCCATGGCTGGGCTGCATTAAAGCAGAGAGTGAGAACAGTTGTATTAGGGAGGTTGCCAAAGTCACCTGCTAGGTGGACTCAAGGATCTCTTGGGTCAGGTTCTGTCAAGTTACCAGCAGGAGCTATTGATTGTGGAATTTTAATAACACCATTATCCTACCAAGTGAAAAAGTTGGCATTAACTGGGGTGTCACTCTGACTTCCTGGAGAAAGCTGCCCATAACATAAAGTCATCAATTTCTTGCCCTGGTTTGCAGAATGAGTGTCTCTGGTTATGGCATTGGTGGTTTGGTGACCTTTCTGAGTGGTCCCTACATCAGGCATGAGACTTGTTTCTTAAAATTCACCTAGTTTCATCTTATAAGGTTTCAGGAACAGAGTGGTACCCATTTTTAGTAATTCTGTGGGAGAAAGTTGGATTAGAGGAAACTAGAAAAATTTAGGATGTAGCCTATACAGGTAGACAACAAGAAGTCAAAAACGTGCACAGGGCTAGTCTCACAGCAGGTGTATAACAGTCTTTCTTATTTATTTATTTATTTTTACTTTTATTTTTTTAACTTAAATTTTTATTGTATTTATTCTTTTCCTTTTTTTTCTTTCAACTAGTTCATAGTGGGTAGTCGAAGGTATAACAGTCTTTCTTTAAGAAACATGACTTTCTCTCTCTACATTGATCACATAGGAATCTCAGATTTAAAAACCTCTTGAGGCTAGGAAGCCAGACCAAGGCAGACTTTCGATTTTACCTATAGTCTTAAGGTTCTCCTGGGCCTGCCAGGAAGTGACAAATTTTACTCACTGTAAGCCTGGGATCCCTTGAAACCAGGCATCCTATGCACATTCTCAAATGTGACATTCCAGTCACAGCCTTGGTAATGTAACTAATGTTTCCT